CATACACAGGAGGTCACTGAAAATACCATGGCTTGGGTCAGGCGCACCTTAGTCCTCAAGCTGACATCTTTGCTCTTCAACATTTTAAAGAGATCTTGTGCAGCGGATTTGCCTAATGCAATATGTCATTTGATTTGTTGTCTGCTACTTCCATGAGTGTTGATAGTTGATCTAAGAAGAATGAAGTCCTTGAAATCTAGTACACCTGTCTCTCTACTAAGAGGAAGTGTTTGGGATGCAGTCCAAGTCACAGTGTCGGGGTGCTAGGCCACAATGGACCGATTCTGCTCCACCCTTCATTCATTCCCTGGACCACCTGGCCACTCCCTGGACATCACGCTCACAGTTGGTTTGTTTCTGTGTAAAATGAAGGAATTGGCTAAGTGGTTTCGAGTTCCTGGTAGCAACCTTGATGCCTCTTGGTGTCTTCTGCGCCCGAATGACAAAGGTTTCAGCCAGTCAGGGGGCTAATGTCTGAAGTTATCACTTTTTCTACGGAAAAAGTGGAGAAGCTGGTGTGGCGCTGTAGGATCAACACTGGACTGCGAATCACAATGTCTGCAGTTCAAACTCACCAGCTGCTTTCGGGAAACCCTACATAGATAGGGTCGCTATGAGTCGAACCAACTCGACGGCACTTAACAACAACAACAGAGGGAGAAAGAGACTGGGTTCCCGGTGCTGAAGCGACTGCGTCGTCATCAGCCAAACCTCCCGCTCCCTAAGGATCCCCAAACTGCAGTTCACACAGCTGTAATCCGCGTCCAGGGAGCCCTGATCTCACTCCATTGCCACAGTTCTACCCAACCAGGAAGACCGCGGCGCGGTTGCCTGGGCAACGCCCACGTGTCACCGCAGGGGTTCCTGGGCCGTGGAGTCCGCCGGCAGTCGCGCCTCGGCCGGCGGGGCCCACAAAAACTACAACTCCCCAGAAGGCCGCGCGGCGGGGCGGGACCGCCGGGCGGGGCCGCGGAGTCTCCCCGCGGGCCGCGCAGGTCGCTGGCGCAGATGAAGATGGCGTCGCCGAGTTTTGTGTTGCTGCTGCTGCTCGGACCCGCGCTGGCGGCCGGCCACGGCGGCAAGTATTCGCGGGAGAAGAACGAGCCTCAGAAGCGCGAGCCGGAGGGGTTCCGGATGGAGAAGCTGAACCAGCTATGGGAGAAGGCCCAGAGGGTGAGTGGCCGGGGTCGCGGAGCTACCCCACACCATTACCAGTGGGGCCGCACTCTGGGCTGGCCGCGGGCTCGGGGGACTGCCTACGCTTGTCTTCGCCGCGGTGTCAGGGGGTGGCGTGATGCACCCGTTTGCAGACCTAGGCCTCGTACCTGGTGCCTCCGGGGAACTCAGCCAGTCTCCGCCTGCCCCAAGCATCCCGGGTCTCCTGTCTTCCAGGGTCTTGATCTTTTCTTTCACATTCTGTCTCCCTACAAACGGTGAAACGGAGCACTCAGCTATTTACTGCAAGGTTGGAAGTTCGAATCCAACTAGAGGTGTCCCAGGAGAAAAGGCAGCCATTGAAAACCCTTTGGAGCTCAGTGCTGCTCTGAATTGGAGCCGACCCCACATCAACTAGGGTTGCGGCAAAACCAGAAAGATAGATGGTGTTGGGCATTAAGTCCTGGGGGCAGGAGGAGTAGCAGAAATCCCAGAAGCAGGTCATTTGTTGTTGTTATTTTTTGGGGGGGTGGGAAGGGAGCCATGGTGAGGTTGGAGGAGCTGGCTTTAGCTAACCCACCCACTGCCATGGATTCCCACTCAGCGACCCTTTTCGCGACTGTAAACCTTTACAGGAGCAGAGAGCCTCATTTTGGTCCCACAGAGAGGCCGGTGGATTTGAACTGCTGACCTTGCAGTTAGCAGACCTGTGCTTAACCCACTGTGACACCAGGGCTCCTTAGAGGACATGGAACACAAGCCTCAAGGAGTGATAAGAGATGACCTTGGCCATTTCAGAAATGAAGAGACTGAGGCCCCTGAGTGGGGACTTCCCTTGTCTAAGGGGACCTGTGACTTGGCTCAACCCATGTGTTCATTAGCATGTTGGCTTTATGATTGTGTTTAGGGAAAGACTGGGAGCCTTATCTCTGAATGAGGAAGGTCAGATTAGATGATCTGATGAGACTTCTAGAGTCTTTGAGAAGGAGAAGTTTGAGCAGAGAAGAGAGGGGAAGCTGGGAGGGGTGGGGTGAGGAAGATCACAAGGGTTTTCAGGGCACCAGGTTGATGCCCAGACTTGTGTCCTTGAGAACATTAGGGTGGAGGTGGGGGGAGAAGCTTAGCCCCACCTGAGATGGGTATGCCATTCATCTGTGTCACCTGACGGGGAAGCCACCCAGTTGTGTTTGATAGAATATGGGTTAGAACCAATAGATCCCCTCTGCTCGTGGGCTTGGCCTCCAGTCTCCCGTCCACCCTGCTGGTCCCCCAGACCCTCGGCTGGTATCTGTTTCTGCATTCTCCCATGCTCTGTTGACATCTGACCCCTGATGTTCAGTCTCAGGCCCAGTGCTCTAAGGACTGGGTGCACCCCGGCCCCCCTCGTGTGGAATCCTCTGCTCTTGGACCAGGTGACTTTTCCTCCAGCCCAGAAACTCGTCGAGTGGACTCTGAGGGTGCTCTGGGGCAGGTTTGGCACGTCTTTCCTGACCGTGGTGTCCACTGCATGGGAAGCCCATCCCTGGTGGGCAGACTGTGGAGCCTGATTGGTCTTGGTTTCCCTTCTCCATGGTGAGGTGGGCCAACGCGTGATACAGACAGGTGTGATGTTCCTCTGGGTGGGGGTCAGCCATCATTTCTTGCTCCTTGCAGGGTCAGAGTCCTGGGGTGGAGTGCCCCTAGAACCTGTCATGGGTCAGCTGCATGCCCAGCGCCCAGCACCACTCAGAGCAGGGCCTTCATTCAGTCTCTTCCTTTGCAGTTCACTTAGCTACCTGAGCAGGTAACCCAAGAAGCGGTTCCTAGCCTAGCTTGTAGCATTCCTCCTCTAGCCAAGAATTCTTTCTTCCTGTGAAAACATCACTACTCTGTTTTCTAAGGGTAAATGTTATTGTTATTAAGCGCTGTAGAGTCTGTTCCAACTCATAGCGACCCTGTATAGGGTTTCTGAGGAGTAGCTAGCTGGTGAATTTGAACTGCTGACCTAGCGTTCTAGTGCATTATCCCACAGTGCCACACCAGGACTCCTAAGTGGAATATTGTTGTTGTTAAGTGCCATCGAGTCGGTTCCAACTCATTGTGACTCTGTATAGGGTTTTCGAGGAGTAGCTGGTGAGCTTGAACCGCCAACCTTACAGTTCAAACGGCTTTGCATTCTGGTGCATTAAACACAATGTCACACCAGAATATGATAAATGTGTTCGATGTAACATTGTAGCATATAATTCCCTTCAATGTAACATTATAGTGTACATCAGAATAGGACTGGGCCCCCCAGTGATGGGCTGTGTTCTGTGGACGCAGATCTCCTGGTCTTCTGTGATCTGTGGACGCAAATTGCCAGGACTTTCTTCAGAAACTTTGAGCACAGGCGACATCCTCGATAGAGTTCTGGTGTTGCAGGCACTGTGGGTTCATGTGCTGGGCTGTAAAGTCGTTTGAACTGCAATGCCGGCAGTTCAAACCCACCAGCTACTCCTTTGAAACCCTGTACAGGATCGCTATGGGTCGGAACCGACTCGACAGCACTTAACAACAAGAACATCCTAGATGGCATTCAGATCTGCCTCATCCTCGGCTGCTGCCTCTGGGAGCCTGGGGGATGGAGTGCTGTTGCATTGCCAGGCCTCAGGAGGCTCCGGAACTCGCCCTCCACCTTGTGAGGCCAGGCACCCGCCCGCCTGTGAGCCATCCGCCAGCACTTCCAGCCTTGTGTTCCGCGAAGTCACCCAGTTCCTGTTTGAATGTGCCTTGAGCGCTGGACTCAGGAACTAGGTTCTCTCTGCCCGGCAGACCTAGGGGCCCTTGTGCCATCCGGGTGTGGTTTCTTCCATGGTGTGGCAAGACTGCTGAGCCAAGGGGGGCCGCCTGGGGCTCTGGGGGCGGGGTGAACTGTGGAGATCCTGGAGATTTCGGGTTGGTTCCCTCACGTGGCTGTGCTGAAGGAAGTGCCCCTGCCTTGAAGCTGGTGCCCACTCCTCCTGAGCCCTTATCAGGTGCCCATGATTAGGATGTGTGGACAGATGGCTGGAAGGTTGGCTGTCGGGGGCCAGGTGCACCTCAGAAGCCGGGCATGCAGTCGGGCGTGGAGGACGTTCATGCCCTGTGTGTCCATGGCTCACTTTCTGGTCAGGGTGATCACCACGCCCTGGCCAGGATACACAGAAACCCGAGCTCCAGCCTCAGCCTTTCAGACAGCCTGCCATGTGCTGCCCCGAGCCAAGCCGGTCTCCTCACAGCAGCATGAGGCGAGTGGGCGGGTGGGCATCCTTGTCCTGGAGGAAGTGCTGGCATGGACACATGCGAACCGTTGCCTGTCTTCTCCTTCATGATCACTGTGCCCTCCTCGGCTGGACATGGGCACTACTAGTTCAGGGTACTTGCTGCAGGTGCTGGACCTCGGTTTCCTTGGGGTCGTGAGCCATGGAGGGGACTCCGGTGCCGGTGTCCATCCGAGTGAGGGGTTCGGGACGGGTGGACAGACGAAGCTGGCTGATGGCACTGTTGCTGTGCTCCAGCCCTGGCACACTTGCCCATCTACCGTCTGCAGACCCTGTCCAGCACTTGGATTCTGTTAAGCAGCAACTGAACCAGTGATGTTAAAGTGTAACAGAGTGGCAAGAAGCATCTAGGAGGTGGTGGCTGGCCTTCTCTGTGACATGTGGTCTCTGCCCCAACGCTGAGGCGTGTCCATGTCGGGGCAGAGGCCCGTGTCAGGGACGAACACCGTTACTGAGCCCACAGCCTGCGGGCTCCGGGGGGGTTGTGTCTAGAGAGTGTCCCCGATGGCAGCGGCCCTGGCGAGGGGCCCGGTGTGAACTGTGTCGTTGCCCCTCCTTCCAGCTGCACCTGTCCCCCGTGCGGCTAGCCGAGCTCCACGCCGACCTGAAGCTGCAGGACCGGGACGAGCTCAACTGGAAGAAACTGAAGCTCGAAGGGCTGGACGAGGACGGCGAGAAGGAGGCCCGGCTTATCCGCAGTCTCAACGGTACCTCAGGACAGCCCAGACGGCTTCTTCCCAACGACCCCACTGCCGTCATGGTGCTGCTGAGCAGCTGGTGGGGCTGGGGCTGGCCTGGCCCACTCGGGGAGGTATCGTCAGTCACCCCCAGCCGTGGCTCCCAAGCACCCCGCCAGCCTGCCCAGCCCAGCATGGGCCTTAGGAGAGGAACCCAGAGCAGTGAGGTCTTGAGGCGACCTGAGGGGAGACAAAGGCCAAGTACGGGGTAGAGCGCGAGTCTCTGTCTCTTCTAGTTATCTTGGCCAAATATGGGCTGGACGGCAGGAAGGACACCCAGCTGGTTGACACCAACTTCCTCCGGGACGGCGCCGAGGACGAGGGCCTGCAGGACCCGCGGCTGGAGAAGCTATGGCACAAGGTACCCATTCCTGCCAGAAACCTGGGTGGGGGCTCCGTGGTCCTGCCAGCCACTTGGCACGGGTCAGCCACGGCTGGACACGCAGCTCCATGCATGTCTGTGTTTTCACTTGGGCCCCCTTCTCCATCTTAGGCAAAGACTTCCGGAAAGTTCTCCAATGAAGAGTTGGAGAAGCTGCGGCGGGAACTGAAACATCACAGAGAGAAAGTCCACGAGTACAACGTGCTGCTGGAGACCCTGAGCCGGACCGAAGGTGCTGCACGTAGCCCGGCCCGCCCGGCACCCCCAGTGATGGGTGTGACACCACCCAGCGAACGCTGGTCCCCCTGCATGTTCCTACAGCACTCGGATCCAGCGAAAGCAAGAGCTGCTTCTGGTCCGAGCGTCCGAAGTTAGGGACCCACCTTCCCCGGCCCCCAGGGCCCGGAGAGCCTTAAGCCTTAAGTCCTAACGGGCAGGGCAGGTCGCTGAGCACCCAGTCCACGGGAGCGAGGCTTTCAGTCCCCAGGGACCAGGACCTCAGGCCGCCGTGGTCTCCAGCAGAGGATGATGGTGTCTGTTCTCCACAGAAATCCACAAAAACGTCATCAGTCCCTCAGACATGACTCACCTCAAGGAGGAGGTCCTGCAGAGCCGCCATGCCGAGCTGAAGGACAAGCTGCGCGCCATCAACCAGGGCTTTGACCGTCTGCGGAAGGTCAGCCACCAGGGCTACGGCACCGAGAGTGGTGAGCACCCGCGTGCATGTGTGTCCACTGTGGGCTCCCTCCTGGAGTGGACCCAGCCCATGTCATCGTCCAGGCCCCACAGCCCCATGGTCAGTCTGCCTGGTTCTCTCCTGCTCCCCCACCCACCCACCCCCAGCAGAGGTCATGCTGCTCTGGCTGGGGTTCCATGATGTGTCTCCCATTTGTCTGTGGAGCCAGAAGAGGGCAGCTCCTCATTCATCCCTGGGCCCTCCCAGCAGACCCTCCACATGCCCCAGCGCCCTTGGGGACGGCTGCAGTGAGGCAGGGAACAGTGTGGAGCCCTCCCATGGGCAGGAAGGCAGGGGGCCTTGGCCTGAGCCTCAGACACCTCTCCCAATAGGGACAGAGGGTCGTGGGGGTTTGCTTTGGCTCCTCCTGCCTGGGGTACCGCAGGTGACCTTGGAGGTCTTCCCTGGGCCCAGCGCCCTCTGCCCGAGCCTGTGGGCCGCCCAGTGAATGTGCTTCGGGCCCCGTGTCCCTCCTCTGTGCACAAGTCACCTGCCACACCCTCACACACACTCACAGGGTTAACGCAGGGCTGGCCTGGGGTCTCAGAGCCCACCTCTCCCTGCAGAGTTTGAAGAGCCCCGAGTGATCGAACTCTGGGACATGGCCAAGTCTGCAAACTTCACTGACAAGGAGCTGGAGGCCTTCCGGGTGAGGGAGGCATTCCCACCTTTTCCCCTCACCTTCTCACCCCTCTGTCTCCGAGTTCTCTCCCCTCACCATCTGTGATCAGGGGTGAGTCTGCAGCAGCGGTCGGGGGCGGGGCCGTGGCTGTGAGGGGCGTTCCCTCTTGTCTGTCTCAGCAGGAGCATGCGCAGGTGGTTTGTGGAAGTGAGCCAGGATGGGGCCGTGAGGGAGCAGACTCAGTGTCCAGCTGGGGGCGGGGGGTTCTGGCCTGGCCCCGGAGGGAAGGGCTCAGCTGCTGGTCAGGGCGGTGAGCGGTGGACGCCTGTGGGCCGGGGTGTCAGCTCTCCGTGCGCCCCGCTGGCTGTGCCCTAGGAGGAACTGAAGCACTTCGAGGCCAAGGTGGACAAGCAGCAGCACTACCAGCAGCAGCTGCGGCTCTCCCACCAGAAGCTGCGGCACGTGGAACGCGAGGGCGACCCCGAGCACCTGAGCCGCAGCCGCCAGAAGTACGCGCTGCTGGAGGAGAAGGCCAAGGAGCTGGGCTACAAGGTGGGCCCACACCCGGCGGCCGGGCGCTCCAAGAGGTGCACCCACAGACAGCAGGGGCTCCTGACTTAGCGTCAGGTGGCGGGGTCTGTGAAGCCAGGCCGGGGAAGGCATTGGGGAGCAGGGGCCCCCAGTGTGTGCACCAGGCCCCACCCCCCTGGACACCCGCATCCTGCGAGCACATGGGCGCCCCTTTGGGTGACCCAGGCCCTGAGTAAGGGATGGGGGAGCACCCCTCTCGGGGCGTTGAAGCTCCCCCGGCCTTGTAATGAAGAGTCAGAAGTGACAAGAACATGCTGAAAACTCTGGACTCTTGGTCACTTGGGGACGGAGGCCTGTGTAGGAGGGAGTCCACTGAACTTTGGAGTCCTCTTTTTTTTTTTTGAAACCCATGTGCATCACTTCCGACTCACAGGACTCTAGGACGGTGAACCACCCACCTTGCGGTTAGCAGCCAGACGCTTAGCCCTCTGAACCATGTGAGATGGTTCTAGGCAGACAGAGGCGCCCTGTGTAGCCGGAGCTCTGCGCCTCCCTCTCGAGGAGAGGGAGGGAGGGACGCAGGGAGCTCGGCTTCCCATGAGCGTGGGAAGCAGGTTCTAAAATTAACATGATCATGTGAGACTCGGCAGCCAAGCTCACCTGTGACCGGGACCAGGAACAAGCGTGGCCTCCGGGGGAGGAGCCAGGAGTCTGACCCCGAGTTTCAAGGGCAGAAGCCTTGCGGGGTGGGGGGTTTCAGCTTGTTCATGGCTCACTGCTGTTGAATTAATGATGAGGGCGGAGTCTGTGTGTCCGTCCTTGCTGACACCGTTCCTCCTCCTCCGTGTCAGGTAAAGAAGCACCTTCAGGACCTGACTGGCAGGGTCTCCAGAGGCCGCCACAATGAGCTCTGAGCCGGCGCAGGAAGACCGGCGGAGGCACTGGGAGCCGGGGTGCTGCCTCCGGGGGCTTGTCCGGGCGAACTTTGGAGCGGCAGCCGTGTGATGATTGGACTAAGTGGGGGGCTTGGTGACCGCCCGGGGTCTTAGCTGCCACAGTGTGCCTGTGTGTAACAGCCAGGAGTTAGCCTGCCACTGGGCGTGGGCGTGCGGACTCCTAGAAATGCGCCTGGCTCCCCTCACCACCACCCGCACGCCCCTCTCTCTCCGCAGCGCTGCTGACTCCTTCCCCACCCACCCCCACACTCCCCTCCACCCACTCACCCCCATTAGAGCAGGCCCAGCAGGCAGATGGCCAAGTGGATCTGCAGGTCACAGAAGGGGGGGTACCCCCTGGAGACAGGCTGGGGGGCCCACCCTTCACCTGGAGCCTCCACATTGCAGGGCCCCGTACCCCCATGAGTCTCCGGCATCCTAGGGACAGGGTCCAGGATCCCGTCGAGCCCCCGACATCTGAACACCCCATCAGAGCTTGTCACCTCTCAGCTCTGCTGACCTCAGCAAAGGTCATAGCCAGGGAAGGTGGATACCAGCAGTCCATGTTGCTTACTGGACCTTTACCAAGCAGATGTGGGGGCCCTGGATGAAGGTGGGGCTTACTGCCTGGTCCAGGAACCTGCCCTGGGGCCCCCACATGATGTCACCCAAGGTGGGCAGGATGAGAGTGGTCCTTGATCAGAGCCTGTACACACTCATTAGCTGGGATAGTTACATGGCTGCACTGGGGCCACGTGGTCCCAGGTATTGTGAGGGTCCCGACGGTCCAGGAGGAGGGGCTGCAGAGCACAGACTGGCCCGGGACACACAGCTCACCACCATGAGGGCCAGGCACCCAAAATTGTGGCTGCCCTGTCTCCCTCGAGGTGCTGTAGAGTAGGTTCTGACTCATAGCAACCCTGATAGGGTTTCCAAGGAGCGGCTGGTGAGATTGAACCACCAACCTTGCAGGGGTCCAGTGCTTATCCAACAGTGCCACAGCAGGGTAGATTAAGGGCCCGGAGCAGAAGGCCCCGGGCTGCAGGGCTCTGATTCTCAAACAAACCTGCATCCCTCAATTCACACAAAGCCCGGGGCCTCAGTGAGTTCAATCACGTCCAAGTGGATACTATAATCGGCCTGTGGCTCAGATGGGTTCATCCCTTCTCTTTGTTCTGAAATTGCTGGTACAGAGTTGGTGTTTCTCCAGTGTGTGCTAGAATTCATGAATGAAGCCATCGGGACCTGGGTTTTTAGCTGAGCTAAGTTTTGTTGTTTTAATTCACTTCTTTAGAACAGATAAGCTGTTAGAGTTTCATTTCCGCCTGTGTCATACATGTGTTACGGAATTGCCTCTTCACTTGTCAAAATGATTAGCATAAAATGGTTTATAATTGTATTAGTGTCTGTGGAATGTTGTTAATGGCATCAAGTGGGTCCCAACTCCTAGTGAACCTGAAGGGTTTCTGAGGACTGGCTGTAGGGTTTGAACTCGTAGCCTGGCGGTTAGCAGTCCACTACTGAGCTGACAGCACCACGCCAGTAGAACCTGTAGGATAATGTTTCATCCTTGATGGAGACGGTTGAGATTCTCTCATTTTTCCTTGATCTGTCTAACTCGGAGTTTATGGATTTTATTGCCCACATAAACCTCCCAGAGAGCCAGCTGTGGGTTCACTGACTGTGTTCTTTGTTGTTGTCTGTAGATTTCTGCTCCTGTATAAGCTTCCTTTCTCCTGCTTACTGTGCTTTGTCTAGCTCCTGTTTTGCTTAGACACTTACTTAGCTCACTGATTGGGACATTTTCTAACTCACTTCTCAGTAACTGAGAGATCAAACAAAGAACCTTTCAGGATATAGAAACTTTGGACAATACATTTCACAAGCTTGCTGCATGTCTGCCCATTCCAGACAACCTGGCCTTCTCAGGCACATGTGGAATGTTCTAGAAACTGTCTTCTACTAGGACTCGAAGCAAGAGCCAGTAATTCTCACAGGACAGAAGGATACAGATGACATTCTTTGACCACGTACATCAGAGGAGGGCATGCAGGCAGTTTAGAGGCATTACAAGTACACGTGGGTCTAAGAAGACCCCGTCCCTCCTCAGGGAGAGTGCCCACTGAACTAGATGGTGATGGCGCCGCACCGAAGCCTGCCGGCATGTGGCAAAAAGGCTTTTGGTGGCGCCGATGACCTGGAATCTTTGTTCAAAAGAGGAGAAGATGCTTGTTCTAATAAGAGCAGCCTCAGGATAAACATGCTGCACAAACAGTGGACACAGGGCCACTGGGAAGGGACAGACAAACCTGAAACAGGAGCTTGAACTGTCCCAGCTCAGGGACGTGGACTTCTGTCTCAGTGACCTTGGTCAGTGAATGTAAGGATGCCCCCCTCATGACTGGGGCCCCTACTGATGGACCCACGGTTCCAAGACTCTACAGAGTGAGGGGTCAGAGGAAAGTCCTGCTGACAAGATCTGATCAAGGGCCGCCACCACCACCACCACCCCCTTGCCTGGATCATCATCACTTGTGTGGAACAACCCCACAGACTTGGCTGTTGGTGTACCAGCCAGGCCTGGTGATGTTACAGTAAACAAGTCTAGGGAGGAAGGTGTCTTTTTCCTAATTCTCCAATACAAAGTCGTCTCTCATTCACAACAGTTAGCCTGCAGTTGAAAGCACAGAAGACCCCATGAGTGACAATAGCAGACAGTGACCCAGAGGGACTGGATACTGAAACAATCACACTCAAATACTCTTGCTTGTTCACAGAATTAAAAAGTAAGCCTGCAAATACCTCTTAAGAGTCTAGAAACCAAGGAATGGCCTAACATCTGCAGAACCAAACACCAGTGAAGTCTGAGAGTCAGTGCCTGCCTGAGAAGGAAAACAAAGACATCCTCCACTAAACAAGCCATCGGGAAGCGGTAAGACTGCCCTGTCAAAGGCAGACCCAGAAAATCAAGCAGCCCCGTCCCTGTCCTGGCTCCCACGGGTTACCCCGCAGAGCCTTTAGATTGGAGGAAGGAAGGCTTTTCCATAAATAACAGCTGCAGTCACAGGTTGGGGGGAATGAAGTGTCTCTTTCATCATCCACAAAGTCAGTGTGGATCATAATGAGAAAGCTAAAATCGCCAAGCTTCTAAAAGAATACAGGAGAATGTTTGCCTAATCTGAGGCTAGAAATGTCTTTTAACAAGACACATAAAGCACGAACCATAAAAGGAAACAGAAAATTGGATTTCATCAAAATCAGAAACTTGTGCTCAGCAAAAGGTTCCACTAAGAAAATGAAAACGCCAGCTAGAGACTCAAAAGCATTCACACTGCCTATGTCTGCGAAAGGACTATTTTTTTTTCATCGTCACTAAAGACAGCATCCAAATGGTCAATTGTCCAAGTGGTGTCGGTGGGTTCTGATTCATAGCAACTCTGTATGGGGTTTCCCAGGAGTAGCTGGTGGGTTTGAACTGCCACCTTGCAGACAAGGATCCAATGCATGCCTTACAGCACCACACCAGACCAATAAGCCATCTATCTATAAAGTTGTCAGGCATCATCCAATCCTTGGGGAAATACAAATCATACACACCCAATTCAATGGCGCCCCCATGTGTGTCAGACCAGAACTGCATGCCACAGGGTCTTTAGTCACATACAAGACCAATTCAATGGCGCCCCCGTGTGTGACAGATTAGAACTGTGCTCCACAAGGGCTTCAGGGCTGTGACCTTCCAGAAGCAAAACACCAGACCTTTACTATGAGGTATCTCTGTGTGGGTGAGTAGCATAGGCCCGCAGTGTTTCCTAGGTGGAAATCTTTACAGGAGCAGATTTCTGGGTCTTCCATGGGGTCGCTGGCGGGCTGAAAACCCTGAGCTTTGCTCCACCCCCATTAGATGTGGATGACTTTATAGACAGCGCATTCCAAGGGCGGGGAGGTGATGTAGTTGCTAGCAGGGACACTCCCACATTTCGCTGGAGGAATCTACAAAGTGGCAAAAAATTTAAACCTCTTGGAAGTTTTTTGTCCCTGCCTGTCCCCTGACTGACTTCACTACAACGCAGGTTTGTGGGAAAATGGGACTGAAAGATTATGGCGTTTTCCCACAGACTGTGTGAAGCCCCCTCATACCAAGAATATAGATGGATGTCCACAAAAGTCCTAAACAAGAATGTTCTGAGCCAATTTATTCATAATGCCCCAAACCAGAAACAATCTAAATGCCCAAGTACAGGAAAATAGGGAACAATTTGTGCCATAGTTAAATAATAGAATGTAGAGGGTCAGGGGAAAAGAGGAAGATTCCTAAAAAGATGGGTTAACAGTGGCTGCAGCCATCATGTGAGGCGGGCGCGCAGCCGGCCAGTCCTCCGTTCTGTGGTGCACAGCATCGTTGCCAGGTTCAAAGTGCCAGCCTCCCAGTTAGCATCAAGTGCTTAACCCCTGCGCCAGCAGGACTCCTCCTCCACTTACAACTGTTCCATGCCAACCAGTTGCTTCTGACTCAGCAACCCTGTATACAGTTTCCAAGAGCGACTGATGGATTTAAACTGCTGACCTTGTGGTTAGCAGTCCAGTATTCTACACAGCCAAAGCAGGACTGCAGTCCTGTGCTTGTTAAGGGTCATCAAGTCGGTTCTGGCCCACAGCGACCCTATACAGGCTTTCTGAGGCTGTGAATCTTTCAGATCACAAAGGCTCATCTTTCTCCCATGAAGTAGCTGGTGTGTTCGAACCACCAACCTTGTGGTTCACAGTCCAGTGCTTTTCCTTCAGAGCCACCACGCGCCCTGTCCTTGGTGGTGGTGGTGGTGGTGGTGTATCTTGGAGTCAGTTCTGACTCAGCGACCCTGTATAGGGTTTCCAAGGCTGTAAATCTTTACAGGAACAGAAAGCCTCATCTTTCTCCCATTGAACAACTGGTAGTTTCGAACTGTGACCTTGATGTTAGTAGCCTGACTCGCAACCACTAAGCCACCAGAGCTCCTTTGTTGAGTGCCATGGAGTTGGTTCCAACCCATAGCAACCCTGTATAGGGTTTCTGAGGAGCAACTGGTGAGCTTGAACATCCAACCTTGTGGTTCAAATAACTTTGCAGTCCTGCATCTTAGCCCCCGGCGCCACACCAGGACTCCAGCACAGCTCCTTAGAACTAGGGAAATGGACATAAAACTGGAAGGTCCCATCATAATCAGAGGTGGACTGTAGCTCTGGAGGCCCTGAGCCCAAGTGGGAGTCCTGGCCCCAACAGCCCTCCACACCACGTGACAGTGTCTGAAGGTGACCCCAGTGTCCAGCTCTGGCCGCCAGCAGCACAGTCCAGAGGATCCATCCCCACCCTGAATGGGTGAGACATTCTGGCAGAGGCCCCAGCTCAACCACCATCCTCCATAGCCCACCCACCACATCACTTCTGGGGGCCTCTACACGCCCTGTGTCGGGTGGACGCTCTTGCTGTTTGTAGTCTGCCAGGTGCAGACACCCCCTCCCTAAGCCATCCCCCTAACCTAAGGCCACTTTTCAGACTTGGCCTCCACACCTGACCATGTACCACTGTCATGATAATGGGCGAGTGGGAGGTAGATGGATGGACAGATGAGTGAGGGATGGGATGATTGGATGGGACAGATGGATGATTGGATGGGAGGATGAATGGAAGACAATGGATGGGGGGGAATAGATGGATCAAAGGAAGGAAGTGAGGGTGACTCGGGGGCCATCAGGTGAAGGCCAATGCAGAGAGCGAGCATTCTGCATCCTTCAAGGGAACAATGCGCACTTAAAAAAATAGAACATTAGAGTTTTTCAACTTTTTACACGACTGATAGGTCCCAGTCAGGTAACAAGAAGGAGCACAAATGTGGAAGTGATGCCCTGGGCTGAGGGGGCAGGGGGCTGTCATGCCTCGGGGTCTCCCTGCCTGCCCCTTCAGCTGTGTACCAGTGCTAAGAGGCATGTAGGAGCATCATTCATCCACAGTCCCCTCCCTGAGGGCTGGGGACAGTCTGACTGCTCTGCTCACCCAGGCCGCCCGCAGCCTGAGGCTGGACAAGTGTATCTCTGAGGTCCAGCTCGGCGTCCTAAGGGTGGACGAGGGCTGGCCGCTGGGACCAGTGGAGCTGGAGACCAGTGGCCCCCAGAGGCAGGGCAGGAACCAAGCCATCCCCGCTGGGGTGGGCAGTGTGCCCCTCAGCTGGCCGAGGGCCTCCACCTTGTGCCTGGACCGCTAAGGATGCCAAGGGGTGTGCGGCCTCACGGCTGTGCCCGCCTCCTCTGCTCCAGCTCCGGCAGCCGCTCCTCCCGCGTCTGTGCGTGCTGCGTGCCCACCCGATGCGCGGTCTCGGTGGCTGTGACGTCGATGTGTGCATACCGCGAGGCGCTGGCCCCTGCGCATGGGCGTTGGAAGAGTCAGCTGGGCCGGGAGGTGCTGGGGGTCCATGGGAGTCCCCCCTCCCACCCCAGTGGCTGCCTCTGGGGGGTCCTCCTCACCTCGGACCGCCGGCCCGGCCCCTTGCAACTGCAGACCCAGGTAGTGCGGCTGCTTGCCGGCGGAGGGGCTGACCGGAAGGTTCAGGTACACAGGCGCCTCGCTGTCCCCGGGCCCCAGGGCTCCTACAGACAGGCTGTGAGACTACATGGAGTCCTGGGCAGCAGAGACCCCCACCCCTCCCCAGGGCCACTGGTCCATCTAGCCCCAGCCATGTCCGCTCCCTGACCTGATACCCCTGCCTCTCCTCACTGCCCTGTGCCCCTGGACCGTTGACCACTGTCCACAGCATGCCCCTGCCCCATGGACACGCCCATTGTGTCCAGCCCCTGGACTGCTCACCCTTCGGAGACTGACCCGCCTTCCCCGTCCCTCCCGGCCACTTGCCCTGTTTTGTCCGTGTACCTATACCTCCCCATCACTGTCCTCTGGGCCACCCCAACACCCAGGCGATTTCCCATAGGGTCCCTCTTCACCTCGGCTGCCATAGCAGGCAACATCCTCCCAGCTAGCCCCCAGAAAGCTCCAGCGTAGACCTCCCCCCACCCCCCGCCATTCCCTCATGATGCTTAAGCTCTTTACAAACTCTATGGGCAGAGGGGACGAGAGGTGGACAGAGTGGGAGGCTGGGTTGGTCCCAGGCATAGTGGGAGAAGGAATCAGGGTGGGCTGCCTGGAGGAGGATAAGGAAACAGGACATATCAAAGGGGCGGGTCCAGGGTGAGCATCCAGTAGGAGGAGGCAGGGCCTCAGGTCCAGGGTCCACCATGTTCTCCAAGATGGAGGAGCCGGAAGGGAGAAGGCAGGAGCAGGGGCAGTGTGAGGCTTAGGGAGGGGCAAGGGAAGTTCTGGATGTCCCCCCCACACACACACAGCGGCTCCAGGGAGGCGGCTCACCCCACACCAGCCTCAACTCAGCTAGATGTCCAGGCAGCCAGGCCGTCCAACCACCCTCCCCATCCTCAACCTGCCCAGAAACATCCAGACCACCTTACTGGACCACATGTCCCCATCCTGCAGCCCAAACTCCCCACCCAGGGAGCCGCTCCCGGGCCCTTCCTGCCCACCGAGCCCTTTCTGCCCAACATCCTTTCTGATCCCCACATTTCCCAAGGTTCATCCCAGCCTGAGCCAAGGGAACAGAAACAAAGCGACACCCACCCCACCCCCCACCCAGGACTCTCCCACGGGGCTGGCATCTGGCTGTCCTTCCACCAACTGAGCTCCCTGCTGCTGCCCCATTGCACTTGCCACCCAGGGACCCTCACCCCTCTTCCCACTGACTGCCCAGGACAGGGCTCACCTTCCCCAGTCACGGCATGGGCCAGCTGTCCACCACCCTGCGCCCACTGCCCCTACTGCTCTGCACCCCTATTGTCTTACACCCTCTGTCCACTTCCACCCTCTCGGGAGCATGACCCTGCCTAGCTGTGACCAGTGTCCTCCTGGCCCCCAGTCCCTCTTGTCCAGAGCCTCTAAGAGATTTACCTGCACGTGGAAGTCCAGTGGGTGTGGCCGCCGCTGCCTGAACCAAAGAGAATGTCTGTGTCAGAGAGCTGGCCTCACCCAGGGCCCCGAGACAGGCAACTGGGCAGAATCAGTCAGGTCAGGGGCCAGGGACCCCCAGCACTGACCTCTCAGCCCCTGGGACCTTTGACATCCAGTACTGACCCTGAGCCCCAGCCACCGCCCTCTCTCTTCCCCCCCTCCCTGCAGGGGCTGGGGCAGCGCCTCCTGAGCCAGTGTTGGTACGTTAGCTAGTTGGGTCCATGGTGCTGTTGGAGTGAACCTACACCTGGGCATTTACGCGTTGTCATGGTGCGGCAGTGACCGCAGAACCCACAGAGCCTGGAGTGTCTCACCTCCTACATGGGAGGTTCTGGTATAAATGAACCAAGCCACCCACACCTCAGGGGCATCTTTCTGAGCCCATGAAATGGATAATTTCTGGTGGATGTGCGGCCTTGAAGGATGCAAATGCTGAACATGCTCGGCTGCTAACCAAAAGGTTGGATGTTCAAGTCCACCCAGAGGTTCCTCGGAAGAAAGTCCTGGTGATGAACTTCTGAAAAGTCATCCCACTCTGACACACATGGGGGCCCCATAAGTCAGTGTGGAGCTGGGGACAGACTATGGAGAGAACCTGCACTGTGGCCTCGGAGCCCTGGGCAGGGCCTGTGGACAGACAAGGGCAGGGGCAGTGTCCATGGCATGGTGACGGTTCCCCGAGCCCCCTCGGCAAAGCGGTCCTCACTGAGGCCCAGGGCCCGCGAGCCTGGAAGTGGAAGCCAGGCTGACTCTGGGGCAGGAAGGGACTCTAGCCCGACCCCACGTCCTAGCCCCAGCAGATCCCAGACAGTGGTCAATACTATAGTGGTCAGCAGCTTGAAGGCGCCCAGGATGTGGGCAAGGCATGTGGCACTAGGCACACATAGACCTTGTGACAGAAATGCCGGCTGCACACACCGGCCTCTGGGGACATGTGCTCTGCTGGCTGGACAGATGACCGACACGTGTGTAGACCACCCTCCACCCAAGCCCTCCTCACCAACACAAGGCAGAAGTCCTAACTGCCAAGGTTCTGGGACTCGCCCAGTGCCTATGGGCGAGGAAAATGAGGCTCAGAGTGGTGTCCTGACGGGCCTGGGACCACCCAGCCAGGGGGATGGTGAGTGTGGCCCGATGGAAACTACACCATTCAGTCCTGAGCCAAGAAGTCAGCAGAGACCCGGCCCGAGCCAAGGTGTGCATGCACAGGGGCTGTGCCTGCGATGGGGAGGCAGGCAGGGCAGGGGCTCCAGGATGAGAGCCGGGACCAGAAGGCAGGAGTGTCTGCATGTGGAGAGTCTAAAGCTGGAACCTGAGAGGCCTCCATGGACCGCATGTGGTTTCCAGGAGGTGACAGGGACACAGCCCATGTGCATGTGCGTACACACTAATGAATATACACATGTTCATGCTGAGAATGCGTGTACACGTGGGTGCACACTACACTCACATGTACACATACAAGCACATGGCATACAAGCACACACATGCATCATCACACATTCAGCTCCAAGTCCACACAAACACACACCAAATGTGCACATGCACGCATGTAGCTGCGTGCACATATGTGACATACACGTGTGCGCACTGTATTCACACAATGCATGCATACACATCACCATGCATACATCTGTATATAATACATACACACTCACACATTAATCCGTGTCCATCTATGCAACATGCCCATGTGGAGACACATATACATGCATGTCACACACTCAACCCCTGGTCCTCATACACACACACAGATGCTTACATACTTCTGTGCACATGCATTCGCACACGCACACACCAAGAGCCCCGAGCCATCTGCAGCAGCTGGCCACTCTAGCTGCAGAACATTCCAGACAGAAAGCCCTGGTACTAAGGCCCCTGGAGATGCCAGACCCACCCAGAGGACCAGGCAGGGAGGCAGAGCGGTCTGGCCAAAATGGAAAAGACAGTAAGAAAAGAGCATTTTATTTCAGGCTAAGAAAGCGTTACAAACAGTGTCCTGTTGGAAATTGTAAAAGAGCAGTGTCGTCAGCCAAACGGCAAGTACAAGCGGGATATTTACAGGTGAGCCAGGGACCCCTGGAATGGAGCCCACCCCAAGAGCCCCAACAGGAAGGACCAGCACATGCGATGGACACAAGCCAGACTTGTCTCAGCGCATCCAGGATCGCACAGCGCAGGACAGATGGTGCAAAGCGGCTGTATTCCATGAAGGCTGGAACCAGCATGAGAAGAGCCAGCGTCGCCTGGGGTAACCGCATGGCCCAGCCTGGAGCGCCCCACTTCCAAACGCAAAGAGCTTGGTGAGTCCAGCCTTCCTCCATCATACACACACACCCTGGTCCTGGGGACCAGCTTCCAGGTCCCCGGAAGGAGGTCCCTGGCAGGACCAACATGGCGTCCACTTGGGGAACCTGATGCAGACTGGGTGGTGAGGGTTCTGGACCCCACAAGTCACCGGGATCCTGAACGTCAGTTTCCTCCCCAGGAGGCGGGGTGCCATGCCTGCCTCACACAGGTGAGAGGTGCAGAGACAGGCACTGGGGTGCGGGGAGGGCGTGTGGCAGACGTATGAACTGTTCCCTTCGAGGTGGAACTAAGGGATGGCCGGGGCTTGTAGCCTAGCTTTGTGTCCATCCAACCAGCGAGGGCCTCCCAGCCCCCAGTACCCCAAGAGGGGAGCCAACAAGGACATAGCCACCAGCCTTCCTCACCCCCAGATCCTGCAAAGGCAAGCAGGCTGGGTCTGGACTCTGCTGCCCTCTGTTTTCCACTCAGGCTTCCATCCCCTGCCCCTGTGGACAGTGCAGGAGGCTCAGGCTTCCAACAGTGCAGCATGGAGTCAGTCCTGTCACGAGACTGGCCACCCTCCTCTCCCGTCCGAGGGGCCAGCAGGCTGATGGCAGTCCTCAGGGAGAGGGCCTTACCTTGAGCCCTCCACAGACGGGGCAGGTAGAAAACCAGGCAGGGCTGGTCCCCGTGTGAGGAACAGCCACCTCCCACGGCTCGCCGGGCGCCTCTGTCACCGGTCCTCGCACTTCTGTGCCTAGCCAGCCAGAGGGACACTCTGTGGACGTCTGGCTGCCCGAGTCCCCAGCAGCAGTGGTGGTGGCGGCTGCACCCTTGTCGGGTCCACCCTGTGAAGCTGGGTCCTGGTCCCTCGGTGCCTGACGCAGGCTGCGGGGTGTGTCGTAGTGAGGCCGAGGCGCACCGGGCACCTGGTACTCGGCCACCCGAGGGGACACACCGGGGGGGCAGGCACACAGGCCGGGTTCAGGCCCCCCAGCCACCGGCGGCAGGCTGAGCAAGGAGCCAAAGTCGTCGGCGGCCGGCCACACGTCCAGGCTACTGCCGGCGTAGGACGAGAAGCTGCCGGAACAGGACGAGTGGCTGCCCGTAGCAATGCCGCTGTCTGAGGAGCCCTGGCGGCCGACCTCCTGCAGCTGCCGAGGCCGCAGGGGCTTGGGGGGCTGCTGGGAAGGACCTGGAGCCTCTTCCCCAGGGGCAGCCGCCTCCCCCAGGTGCAGGGCCCGCGTCGATGGTGGCCCCGGGCCCTCCTGAGACGTGCTGGCCGAGGACAAAGACGGCTCTGGCCAGGCGGTCAGTCGGCTGCCAGCGCTGACGTCCGAGTGGCTGGCCTCTGAGGACGAGCTGGAGAGACTGCGGTCATCCCCTGCAACAAGAAAGGGGGAGCTGCTTGGGAGGGCTGGGGTGGGTGGGGGCTCCTGGGATGTGCTTAGGGTGGGTAGGGGACCTGGGGTGCACTCAGAGTGGGAATGGAGGACTGGAGTGTTTTCAGGGTGAGCTGGGGGGCCTGGGATAATCTCAGGGTCGGATTGGGGGACTCAGGATGGGCTGGGGAACCTGGGGTGCACTTAGAGTAGGCTGGGGACCTGGGGTGCATTCAGGGTAGGCTGGGGACCTGGGGTGTGCTCAGGGTGGGTTTGGGGGGTCTGTTAAGAAATAAGGGAGGGCTCTGGACTGCTAGCGTGATGCTGTAGGACAAGGACTGGACTGCAAGGTGAGTTTGAACTACAAGGTCAGTGGTTCAAACTCACCAGCCACTCCTCGGAAACCCTATACAGGGTCCATATGAGTCAGAACTGACTTACGGCACTTAACAACTGGTGGGCTCTGGCGGACTGGGCAGGGACTTAGAGACCACCACAGGGCTTTTCTCAGGGAGGACCCGGGCAGCACTGGGCAGTTTGGGAGGATGAGCTCTTTGGGGTGTCCAAGGTTCCATGGGGGCTCAGGTGGGGGCAGACAGGAGAAAAGTCACCCACTCTTTTCTCGGTCTCCTGCCCCAGTAAAGGGTAACCCTAGCAGTTCCTGCCCTCTGCAGCTTGGGTCATTTTCCTAAAGGACATACTTGCTTTGTCCCCAGACATGTCATCTGACCTCTTGCTCCCCCTCTTTTTCCCCCAGCCGCCCTGCCCCTTCCTGGCTTCCAGCCCACCTCCACTACCCGATCCCTCTCCTCCCAGCCCCCAGCCCACCTGGGCAGCCTTGTCCTGCCTCTGTCCACAGTCAAAGCCACTTCTGCAGCCGGCTCCCATCCCTGGTTCAAGCCTGGTTCCCACCCCTCTCCCACCTCCAAGGCCCCATCTCTGCTACCAGACCCCACCTCCTGTCCCGTCCGCCCGCTAATCTCTGCTGCCCTGTCCCGCACCCTGTGCCCCACCATCACCTTTGCCGCCCGGCCCCAGCCCTTCCATGGATGGCCCCGCCCATCTCTGCCGTAGGCTGTTCCCCGACCCACCTATGCTGCCCAGTCCCACCCCCTGACCTTTCCCTGCCCCTTCCACGACCCACCCATCTCTGCTGCCCAGCCAGCCCAAAACCAAGTCCCTCCCCCCCATGCCCACCTACCGCTGCGGTCCGTCCCCGCCCCCTGTCCCCAGGTCCATCCACCTCTGCTGTCCGTCCCCGCCCCCTGTCCCCAGGTCCATCCACCTCTGCTGTCCGTCCCCGCCCCCTGCCCGCGGGTCCACCCACCTCTGCTGTCCAGCCCCGCCCCCTATCCCCGGGTCCACCCACCTCTGCTGTCCAGCCCCGCCCCCTGTCCGCGGGTCCACCTACCTCTGCTGTCCAGCCCCGGCCCCTGTCCGCGGGTCCACCCATCTCTGCTGTCCAGCCCCGCCCCCTGCCCGCGGGTCCACCTACCGCTGCTGTCCAGCCCTGCCCCCTGCCCGCGGGTCCACCCACCTCTGCTGCCCGGGTGTCCGTGTCCGGAGTGGGACAGGAGGCTGAGCCGCTTCTCCAGCTGCAAGGCTTCCTGGGCTGCCCGTTCCTCCATGGTCGAGGCCCCTCCAGGGCTCGGGTCTGTGGAAGACCAGAGTCATCCAAGAAGCCTCCACCTCCACCTCCCTAAGCAGAGCCCCCAGGAGTTACGGAGCACCCTAGTCTAGCCCCTCCACTGGACCCCAGATGCTAGACCCCAAACCAAGGTACTCGTGGTCACTGCACATCCCCACAATTGCCAGTCACCAAAACCGAGCCTGCTGAACCCCACCTTCACACACACACACACACACGCCTTGCTGATTTTCCTCTTTCCAGTGATGTCCCTCGGACTAGGAGGGTGTATTCACGGTGGAGAGGGCACACAGCCACAGAGCAAGCCCACCTGGCCCCGAAGATGACAGCTCTTCTGACACCCAGGCCAGTGCTTCCGGCCACCCCATCCCCACCATCCAGGTGGTCAGTGCACCTTCAGTCACCAGGCTCCACCAGGACGTCGGGAGTGAGGGAACCCTGACCACCGCTCTCCTCTGTTCTCAACCCTGCCCAAGGATGACTAGTTCTGACCAGGGGATGGGCGCGGGGGGGGAGAGAAATGGTCCTGCTTCCGGTGGTGGGACCCCTGGGGTAGGGAGAGGGCAGGAACTCAGTCTGTAGCTATGTCTGTGGTCACCAGCAGAGGGCGCCGCCGCAGCTTCAACGTGCACCTTCCCAAGCTTACCCTGGAGCCTGCGCAGTGGGGTGCAGAGGGCCCTGGCTGCATCCCCGCCTTTCAGCAGAGGCCCATGTTCCCTTTCCTGGGGTGGGGGTACCCTGGGGCCCAGGCACCGCCTGGCGCCCTCTCATGATTAGGACAAGAATAACCCTGTTGACACTCTTCGGTATGGGACTGGGTGTCCCCTAGGGAAGGTGGACCTCACTCCGTGGAGGGTCAGAACTGAGAGGAGCCACCTGGGGTCTGCAATTAGAAGATCGGACAGTGGACAAGGGCTTTTAGGGGATGAGCAGCTCTGGTAGCGTGGTGGTTACAAATCGGGCTGCGAACCGCAAGGTCAGCAGTTCAAAACTACCAGCCGCTCCGCAGGAGAAAGATGAGACTTTCTGCTCCCATAAAGATTTACAGCCTCGGAAACCCTGTACAGGGTCGCTATGAACCGGAACCGACTCCACGGCACATAACAACACCACCCTTGGTCTTGGCAGGGGTTCAAGAAGACAAAGCAAACTCAGGACTACGCTGTACCCCCCAAATACACTCTGGGCACCCTGAGACACACACACACATGCACACACAGGAGACCTGAAATGGTGTTTCCACCTGGACACCAGCCACAGTCAGACTTAAGCAGGGCCCAGGCCACGATGAACAAGAGACCCCTGCTTTCTGTTGCTCTTTGTGATGTTTCTGTGGCTAAGTGGTCTCATCCAGGAGCCGGCTGCTCACAGCTGTGACCTCAGTAGAGAGAGGCTCTGCTGGACTAGCCCTGAGACACACTGGCTGTCCCCAGAGAAGCCCCATCTCCCACAGTCACTGCCACCAACTTGGGCTCAGGAGGGCAGAGGGGTGGGTAGGGCAGGGTGACCCATCAAATTGGCTGACAAATCTGGGTGGAGACTGGCCCTTGGATGTGCCCCAGCCCGCACCTGGGAGAACGGGCCTCAGGCTGAAGGGACCCTTGGTTGGGGAGATACCACGCACGATGCAGTCGAACAGGAAACTGATCTGCTCGCCCTCGGTGGAGGACAGGAAGAAAACGCCGGCCCCTGCAAGGGAGACAGACACTGTGAGTGGACCACTCGGAGAGCAAGGGTCTCCAGGGCAGGTGCAGGGGCCATGATATGGAGGGAGGCCCCCCAGTCCCCAATCTAAGAAGTGACCCAGTCCTGCGAACCCATCAGTGGTGAAGGCCGCTCAGGATTTCAGGAGCCCTCAGCCACATCCTGGCTTCCCAGGGCCTGTCTGCGCCTGTGTGGGTGCCATTCTTACATGGCCTGGGGTCTAGTGGGGGCACACCAGGACTGCAGAGCTGAGGCTGTGTGAAGATGCCCAAGGGTCCCTGTCCCCACCACACTGCCTGGGAGGAGGAGTCTTTCCAGCCCTACTAACGCATCTCACTTTCTTCCTGGATGCTTTAGTCCCGGCCTCTGCCTGCGAGCGTCAGTACCCCTGTCCACACGGTCAGTCCACCAATTCCTCCAACACCAACAAGCAGCCCCTTGGAGTCACACTGACCCACGGAGAGCCAAACACAGATTCCCATCCTACTCCTTCCTGGGGCCAAACCCCAAATGCAGTCACATTCATTCTAACCCACAGCCTCCCCGTAGGACAGAGGGGATATGCCCCAAAGGGCTCCTCCTTTATGGAAGCAAGGAACCTCATCTATCTCCCTGGAAGCAGCTGGTGGGTTCCAACTGCAAACCTTTAAGTTAGCAACTGAGCGCTTAACCAGTGAGCTACCAGGGCGGCTTTTCCCTGAGGCCAAACCAAAAACTAAAATCACTGCCACTAAGTCACTTTTGACTGATAGAAACCTTATGTAGAGTTTCTGAGGCTGGGTTTGAACCGCCTACCTTGTGGGTAGCAGGTTAATGCCTCACCCATGGTGCCACCGGGCTCTTTTTCCTGGGCTGTTGCTGCTGAGTACCCATCTAGTTGGTTCTGACTCATTTCAACCCTCATAAGGCCTCCAAGGAGCGGCCAGTGGATTTGAACTGCTGGCCTGGTGATTAGCAGTCTAGTGCTTATCCTGCAGAGCCACACCAGGACGAAGGGATAAATCGATGTATCTGTGAATGTGTAATGCCATCCAGAAACCAGACAGCCCCGCTGTGTCTCTGTGGCGTCTGCGCACCCCTCACATGGGATTTCTTCTCTCTTTCTGATTCGGTTTCTGAGGGGGGGGGGGCGCTGGCCCATGTCATATTGCATACCCCCCCTCCGGCAGGGTCAGCTGGAGCCCCAGCATGGCTGATCTGCTGCACCCATTCAACCCCAAAGGCAGTGCTATGGAAGGAGCTGCGGCGGATAGGACCCTAGCCATGCCCAAAGGTTCCCCAGCAGCCTGGGTGAGTCATCAGGGTGACCGTGTGCCCAGGCGCCCAGCCGCTGGCCTCCCACTGGTCTGCAGCCTCACCAGGCGTGAATGAAGCTGCCGCGGCCAGCAGCGTGAATGGGCAGCCACTGGACTGGCATCTGTGCCCAGGAATCCCTCCTGCCTTCAGCTGTGCCTGTTGCCCATAGAAAGGCACGCTCGGGGGAGGGGGGAGGTTCTGGACTGGCCAGGCTGCGGGCAGGAGGGCTGGGGGAAGGGAAACGTCGACACCACAGCCTGACTCTCAGTCAAACTGTGCTTTCACAGAGCTCAGGCAGGGATTCCTGGGACTCAGGCCAAACCTGGCACGTGGACATTGCTGGTGAACGGGAGGTGGACACTGCTAGGGGGACGTGCCCTGCGGTTAGCGATACACATATCTATCCTTACTCCCATCGACCCTGTAGAAGGGTAGCAACACCCACAGCAGACAGCCTCAGCTTTCTCCCTCGGAGCGGCTGGTGGGTTCAACCTACTGACCAGGCAAGTGCATAGCCACTGTGCCACCAGGTCCTTATAACCCAAACACCAAACCCACTGCCGACAAGTCGATTCTGACTCATTGTGACCCTATAGGACAGACAGCAGCCAAGCTCTAAACTACCTCACCACCAGGGCTCCTTAAGTTAATTTTGTTGTTAAGTGTTGTCCAGTCAGTTCTGACTCATATCGACTCTGTATAGGGTTTCTGAGGAGTGGCTGGTGGGTTTGAACCACCAACCTTGTGGTTAGCAGTCCAGTGCTGGTCCTACTACCAGGACTCCTACGGAAAGATAAGACAGTCAGCTTCTAAAAAGACGCAGCCTTGGAAAACCTGCAGGCTTTCCACCCTAGAAGCAACAGTGAGTCAGAATGGAATTGACCTGATGGAGGGAGTTTGATTTCTTTGTTCCAAGGAGCTGGTAGCGTAGCAGTTATGAATTGGGCCGCAAACTACAAGGTCAACAGTTCAAAACTACCAGCTGTTCCGCAGGAGAAAGATGAGGCTTTCTCCTCAGAAACCCTGTACAGGGTCGCTATGAGCCAAAGACAGGGTTTCCAATGCTGCCTTCTCTTTCTCCCTCAAAGCAGCTGGTAGATTTGAACTTCCAACCTTTCAGTTAACAGGCAAATGCTTAACCACTGTGCTACCAGGGCTCCTTAAGGTACTGCTAACTCCAAAAAATCACACACACGGCCACCAAGTCAGTTCTGACTCATTGTGACCTTACAAGACAGACCAGACCTTTCCAAGATGGCTAACTTTACCGAAGCAGACAGCAGTTGGTGGGTTCGAATCACTGAGCTTTCAGTCAGCAAAATGCTTAACCACGGTGTCAACAGAGCTCTCTACCCCAGCTTTAGAGGTGGAGAGACTGAGACCCAAAGAGAGGACACTCTTGTGCCTAGTCATGCGGATAGCACGCTGGCCCCAGTAACCAGAGCAGAGTCCACAGGTGGGTGGAGGCTGGGGAACACCCCAGGCTAGCACACCTTCACAGGTACTACAAGGGCGGGGCCTCGGAACCCCTGGGGACTGGTGAGAACTCACACCCACGACCCTGGCTGAGGGCAGGCCGGGGGGCATCTGCTGATGGCCTCTCGGCCGTGTCCCTCGATCCCTTGCTGCCCCCATCCATTGCTCCACCCCGTGAAGGGCTCACAAAAGGCTAGGCCTCTAATCCCAAGCTTACGGCAGCTGGCAGAGGCCGAGGGACAATCAGTCCCCCGACTATAAAAAACCTATTACCACAGGGAGTGGACTGGTCGGCATGCCTTCAGAGCTTCTGCGGCTGTGACTTTCTCTGGAAGGCGCTAGTGAGCTCAGCCTGCTGCCAGCCCGGGCCTCGAGGGCCTCATGACTCCCAGGCAGGTCAGTGTGGAGCCGGCCCCCTGGTACAGGTCAGCTGTCCCCTCACCACCCCACTTCCACCCTGGCTTTTCCAGATGGCCCATTACTACCTCTGACTGGGTTATCCTAAAGAGGTCTTGTACCGTAGATGCAATACATCACTTAATTTCTTACTGCTGTTTCCATCAGTGTTGACTGAGGGGCCAAGCAAAACGAAGTCTTGGACCATTTCGATCTTTTCTCCATTTATCAAGATGCTATTTATTGGCCCGGAGTCCTGGTGTGGCGCTGTGGGTTAATGTGCCAGACTGCAAAGCCGTTTGAACTGCAAGGTCGGCAGTTCAAGCTCACCAGCTGCTCCTTGGAAACCCTATACAGGGTCACTATGGGTTGGGACTGACTCACCAGCACTTCACAACCAAATTTATTGGCCCAGTTGTGAGGATCTGAGCAAAATGAAGTCTTGGACCACTTGGGTCTTTTCTCCATTTATCCTGATGATATTTGTTGGCCCAATTGTGAGGGTTTCCATTTTCTTTACATTGAGACTGAAGGCTGTGGTCTTTGATCGTCATCAGAAAGTGTTTTAAATCCTCTTTGCTTTCAGCAAGCAAGGGTGTGCCATCTGCATATTTTGGGTGCTTAATGAGTCTTCCTCCAATCCTGATGCCATGTTCTTCATATAATCCAGCTGCTCAGGTCATTTGCTCAGCATACAGATTGAACAAGTATGGTGAACGGATACCACCCTGGCACACACCTTTCCTCATTGTAAACCATTCAGTGTCTCCTTGTTTTGATTAAACTGCCTCTTGGTCTATGTAAATGTTCCTCATGAGCACAATTAAGTGTTCCAGAATACTCATTCTTTGCAATGTTGTCCATAGCTTGTCATGATCCACACAGTCGACGGCCTTTGCATAGTCAATAAAGCACAGGGAGGAAAACAGCTTTCTGGTATTCTCTGCTTTCAGCCCAGATCCAAGTCCTGGTAAAGGACTGGGCACTATTTCCTACATGGACTCACCAGGAATCAGTGTCCACTGGACAGTATCTGACAACACAGAAGGACACACACATGCCTGGCAGGGCTGGTGTGAGTCCTGGGACCCTAAAACCATCCTCCCTCCATCCCCCCAGCCATCTCCTGGTCATCTCCCCTGGACCCTCAGATGCCCAAGCCCATTCAACTAGACCCCAGTGTAAACCTCAGGGCAGAGATCTGCCAACAAATCACAAAGATTGCACAGGGAGGGCATCCGCACATCAGAATCGGGAAAACCACACCCAAACCAAAGCCGGGACCAGGAGTCACTGCTGACTCACTGTGACCTCATGAGGGATCCCTGGTGGCACAGTGGATAAAGCACTGCCTTGCTGACCACAAGGTCAGCAGTTCAAACCCACCAGTCGCTGTCTAGTCCCTGAGAGATTTCGTCTCCTATAGGAGCGCTTGGGGTCCTGGTGTGGTGCTGTGGGTTAATGCACTGGACTGCAAAGTCAGTTTGAACTACAAGGTCGGTGGTTCAAGCTCACCAGCTGCTCCTCTGAAAACCTACATAGGGTCGCTATGAGTCAGAACCAAGTCGATGGCCCTTCACAACAGCACTATGAGTTATAACCTACTCAACAAGGTGAGTGAGGGTGGCCCCATGTGTGCCAAGCTTCCTGTGATTGGGAATCCAAGATGGTAGGTCAGTACAACACTTTGTTGTTGTTGTGAAGCGCCGTCAAGTTGGTTCCAACTCACAGCGACTCTGAAGAGGGTTTCTGAGGAGCAAATGGTGCGCTTGAACCGCCCGCCTCATGGTTCAAACAACTTTGCAATCCGGCGCACTTGGAGGCATTCTAAACAGTGACATTTCCAACAAAAGGCCCAAGAGAACGCTTGTATGTGGGATGAGGAACAGTTCGACCTCCACTGGGAACCGGCCTGTCAGATAACTTTGATTTTCAACATGAAGGAGTCCTGGTAGTGCTGTGGGTTAAGCACTGGGCTGCTAATAGCAAGGTCGGCAGTTCAAACCCACCAGCTGCTCCACGGGAGAACGACGAGGCTGTCTACTCTCGTAGACACGATCTCGGAAACCGTGGAGAGCAGCTCTGCTCTGTGCTTTTAGGGTCCCTGTGAGGCGCAATCCACTCAGCGGCTATGGGTGTTTGGTGTTTTTGCGTTTAGATGTCGGTGAGGTTGCTTTCAGGGTTACGAATATATTTCAGTGAAGCTGAGCAGGTGAATCTGAGCACAGTCATGCCTCGGAGATATTGAAGTCCAGTTCCAGGCAGTAAACTGAGTAAATGGTATGAATTTTCTGGTTTCTCAGCGTCTAGAAAAACGATGCTTGCACTATTCCGTAGTCCATGCCCAGAGACCACTGTCATAGAAGGGGAGTCTCCAGCAGCCATTGCATCTTGTCCCAGATGTAAGGAGTAGCTCCTGTCACAGATGAGGCCCCCCACCCCCAGCTCAGAGAGTGTGCCCGCTGGCACCACCCCAGGAACTCCGCACCCCAGTTCTTCAGAGCAAACCTGTGCAGAAATTCATCACCAGGTGGACACAGGGCTCCTTCCCCCCGGGCCCCCAAGTTCTCTGGGAAACACTGCCGTGTGCACCTGTGACCTGCAGCCCCCAGAAGTCCCGAGAGGGGGAGACCAAAGCCAGGTTGACCCCTGAGACCAGCTGTCAGTCTGACCCCACTGCCTACTGTTCTGGACACACTAAATCGGCAAAAGAGGAGGGGCCTAAGGCCCCTGGGCAGCTCAAACACTTCTCACTTGGCTCGTAACCTAGAGGTTGGCGGTTCAAACCCACCAAATGCTGCCACAGAAGACCGATGACAGCCAAGGAGACCAAGGGGCATAGTACTATGTAACACAAGGCCTCCTGGGTCACAAAGCAACACCCAAACAAAATCAACAATAAAAGGGGCGCTCAAGGACTTGCCCAGCTGAGAGGATGATGGTGTGCACCCCATCTGGTCCCCCTCCACAGTCCCTCTGGCCAGCCCCTGGGGCAGGCTGGAATATCATGCTCCCAGCCCACACACCCCCTCAAACACCCAAACCCTGTATCCGAGGCCTTCTGGCTCTGGCTCCAACATCCCAAAGCTCAAAGAGCCTCCACCCCTGCACTCTCCCTCCCTCTGTCTGCCTCCCTCAGCACCCAAAAGCTCCACTTCCTTCTGTCCAGGGCTCCCTGGGCCCCAGGACCATGGCTCACTCCGGTCTCAACTCTTTGTAAACCTCCATCCATGTTCATGTCTTGTCTCCTCCAAGGTGGGGTCTAAACAGCAGGGCATGGCCACCAGGTAGTGTTTGTAAATCGGGGTCCAGCGCTCACATGCATCTGTCTCTGTTCGGAGCCCCCAACCACCGAACTGTCCTGAGCAAGTCACTCAGTTTTGCAGCCTGCTCGCCGCCTGGCCAGCCTGTGGTGTGGATACCCAGCTCTTCCTCACACTGAGGTCAGGCCAGTGTCTCACCAACTCCACAACAGGTAGGCAGACGCCACCTGGAGCCCAGGGCACAGTCCCAGAGCTCCTGCCCCACTGGGTGGCGCTCACTGACAGCGGTCACCACCTGCATGCTGGGAGGCCAGAGACCACTGGGAGCCCAGCACAGTGGCACATGCAGCAACCCCTCACACCGTCTCTGAGGCTAAAGGTCCACACACAGACAACAGTTCACTGCGATGCATCTAAAGGTGGCCACGGCCATCCCCTACCTGCTCGGGGGACCGGACGTCATGCCCCTCATGAGAGCATGGAGCAGCATCCCTGAGCCATTTCAGCACTCTGCTCCCAGGGACACTCCAGCCACCCCGCCCCAGGTCACAGTCGCGGCTGCACTCACAACAGAGAAACCCCACCAGGACTCTCTCCTCCCGGGCCGTAGGCACTCCCTGCTGACCAAAGGGTGGGGGCTGATGGACGCAGAGTGTCCATGGGACACACACTAGTCTATGAATGTCCGCTGTCCACTCAGGGCCCAACCAGGAGCTGGCATGTCCTGTGAAAGGCACTGGCTTTCTTTGACCTTCATTAAATCTGAGCGTGATGGTCCCATGCTCTGCCAGTTCTGACCCTGGGCTTGGGTCTCTGGGACACAACCCTGCTCATCACATACGGGGGTGTGTCTTGCAGGGACCTGAGCACCCATCCTCCAGCCGGGAAGAGCAGAATGGAGGGACTAGACCCCAGAGCAGAGCCCACGCCTCTGTCTGCAGAGCCACTGGTGGAAACTGAGGCACGAGAGACACAACTGTGCTCAGTGAGTGAGGTTTTTCTTGCACCCTCAGGGCTGACTGCAGCCTGCCGTGGTCAGAGGGGATGGGTGAGGGGAACCCTCATACTTACAGTACCCACATCTGGTCCCGCCTTCGAAGATGAACCCATTGGGCACTGCCCCATAGCGCCGCAAGTCGGATAGCTTCCATTGCCCCGTGATGGCCGGAGGCACGTCCCTGGTCACCACCAGGATGTCGTTGCAGAGGTGCAGTGTGGCAGGACCACTCTGGAGCTTGGTGCCTGGGGCCACCGTCACATGGAACCTGTGCACTGAGGCGGTGGCAAAGACCCAAAGAACATAATCACCCATAGAGGGCTCTAGGGGGCTGTAGCCCACCTAGCCCAGCCACATGGAGGAGCAGGGAGTGTACTCCACCCAGTCAGCCACATGGGGGAGAGCACAGACTGTACCCTACCCACCCAGCCACACGGGGGGAGCGCAGACTGTACCCTGGTCCAACAGCCACAGTAGGAACTGGGATCTTGAGGGGCAGCACCACTGGGTTGGCTGCTCCCTTGACATCCCCCCACCCCACCCCACTATCTGCAGCCACTCTGTGGGTGTCGTCTGTCTGTGGACAAATGACATGAGTCCCCACCCCCACAGATGGCTACCTGCACGCTCTCCCTGCCCCTGAGGTATTTTGTTCATTGTTATTTTATCAAACTTTGCAGTAAACTTTGTCTATTTCAAGTGCTGAGGTGTGGGGTCCCTGAAATCCTGAGTCTCTTAGCCCCCTGTCCCAGCCCCATCCTGGGAGTCCAAGCCCAGGCTGGCAGTCAGACTCTAGGCTGGAGGAGGCCCCTGGCATTCTGCTGCCCCACCTCATGTGGAGCTCATCTGCCTCTGCTTACATGCCCCCAGGGGTGGGGAGCTCACTCCTCCAAATCTCAGCAACGCAGGGGGCCGGTCTCCAGAGCTGGTCCCCTCAATTCCTGGTCCCCAGTTCCCCCTCCCCCAGCTTGAAGCCCAGGGCAGGGCACTAAACTCCATGTAGACAGCTGCCCCCTCCTGCCAGGACAGCTGCCCACACAAGCAGACATGTGACTTTGGACTTACTAACTAATGGGATCGAGTTGAGCCATGGGATCCCTCTGGTCATTTATCCTGAGTTAGGAAATGGGGCCCTGCACACCGTCACCCCTGACCCTGTAGGCCGAGGATCCCAGGGTGCACAGGACACTTGGGGACAACAGATTCAGACCCCCAAACTCCCTCCTCAATCAGGGTCCCCTGCATGTCACTCACCCTCTCCAAGCTCATAGCGGATGCGGGCATCCCAGGCGCACATGGCCTCCCGACCCTCGAAGCCAAGCATGATGGCCTGGGAGCGGCAGATGATGGCCAGCGTGTGGACCAGGCCCTCGTAGGGCAGGCCAGGCTCCAGGCCACAGATGTCTTCCAGGGTCAGGCTGCTACGTTCCCGCAGACCCTTGATACGCTCAGCCTGGTCCTTATAAATCAGCATTAGCAAGCAGTCTGCGGGCGGCACACAGGGCTCAGGGCAGGGCCACTGTGAAATCAGACCATGGCCCACCCTGCCCCACCCAGGGTCCTACAGGCAGGAGACGGGCTTCACAAGTCCTGTCCCAGCTCCAGAATCCACCCAGGCCACATGACCGTCCCAACCCTGGGCCCCTTCCTGTCACACGGAGACCCTTCCCCTCCTACTTCTCTTGGTTCCAGGGCTGTGGTGGGAGGAGGGGGTTCTCGGTGTCTTGGCCTCCCTCAGCTTCCTTCAGCAGAAGCCCCACTACGGAGGTCTCTTCCTGGGTCTGTCAGGACTGACTCAGCCTGGGCACCCCAGTTTTCCATCTCCATCCCTATCGTAACTAACAGCCCTGTTTCCCCATGCAGCCAAGCGGGTCCATGGTACAGAATGGACACAGGGATATCAAACAAGGACTTCGCTGCAAGGAGAGGGACCCTGAGGGACACCCAGAGGGCTGTTGACAGGGAGGGACCTGACCCCAAACCCAACCAGATCTGGATCCCAGCCTCCAGGACCAAGACTATAAACTGCGCAGTCCCGTAAAGTCATCTGTGACGTGTGTGTGGCGGCAGCATGGGGAACACCTAATGTTCAGTCACGTGTCAGCTGGTGCCACTGGTGCCCCGACTGTCCAGGCCGCCATACCCGCCATGCCTGACCACCACGTCCGTCCCTTCTCAGCTTCCCCTTTCTCAGTTCCATCTCATACTGAGTGTCCTCCCTCTAGGGAGCAGACACACCAGGCTCCCATCTCACCCAGAGAGACGGAGTCCCTTTTCTCGAATGGGGATTCCCCCATCTGCCACTCCTGAGGTCAGCCCCTCCCACCCCCCACTCCTGACCCACAAAAGCCCTCACTGATCACCCACAGGGCAGCAAGGGAACATGAAAACCGTGATTCAGCACCCTGGGAAGATCCTCTGATGATACCCATCTCTCTTCCTGGACCTTCTTCAGCCACCAAGCCCCTGGATCTCTGGGCGCTCCCCACCCCCCAGCCCATGTGCCCGGCCTCACTAACCTCCTTTCAAAAGGAGTGTCTTGACTAGGACAACATAGCAAGACTGTCCCCTCCTCTATTCTAACAGTTATGCTCCCAATAATACATCCTCGGGCAGCACTCAGCCAGCATTTTCTGTAAAGGCCTCATGCTCTATTTACCATGTGGTCTCTGTTCCAACAGCTTCCTGAGAGCAGTCCTATACCACACACACACACAGCTGAATGGCCTTGGCTGTGTCCTAATAAAATCTTATTTATAAGAATGGGCAGTGGTCCAGGTTTGGTCCACAGGCCAGAGTAAGCTTGCAATGACCACCAGTTGAGAGTCCTCACTCACAGCCTCTTTCTGCCTTCTGTGACAGACAAGTTGTTCCCAGCACTGGAGTTCCAGATTTACAAGACTAGCTTGGGGCTGGGGTACAGGAGAAGCATTCGTTCCAGGGATGTGCCGTTCCCTGACACATCTTCACTGCCAGCCACTCTGCTCAGCTTGGGAATGCAAGACTCCACTTCTACCTGAAGAAGCCCCAAAGGCCCATGAGGGTCTCCCCACCCCCGCATCACATGACTGATGTCTTTTTAGACAAGCTCCTCATGAAGAGCACATTCCCGAGACTAATCATCCACCCTCAGCCAAAAGTGCAACATTTGCCTGAAAACAAAGCCCAGAAGGTAGGAAGGGACAGGAACCGGGGAACCCAGGCAGGAAGCAGGAAAAACGCTGTTACATTGTGGGAACAGCGGTCAGTGGCACCAAACAAAATGTGTGTGCGTTCTTGAATGGAAAGCTAATTGGCTCTGTAGACTTTCACCCAAGTCACAATTTAAAAAAAAATAGATAACCCCGGTGGAGACCTGGTCGGCCAGCAGTGTGGCAAGACCTACGGACTCTTGCGCCCAGAGTCAGTGACACAGCCACAGAGGACTTGAGTGGAGAGTGAAGAGTCCAGCTGATAAGAAGAGAGGGCATATGCACAAGAACACCCACACTTGCAGATAATACCCACTTGACCTGGTTTCAACCAAAAGAGGAAAATAAGAGTATTCTCATACAATTTGATGAACTTGACCTACACCTATGGATGCAGTAGCTCAAAAGAGGGATCAAATCTTTACAGCAAGAATCATTCCCACCCCCTCCACACACAGAGTAGACAGGGATGGACAACTTGGACATTGGCTACCCAAAGGGGGAGGGGGGACTACAAAGGCAAAAAGTGACTGGCTTACAAGCTTTCAAGAGGGAACCTAGATCCAGAGGGCATGGAGGAAGGCAGAATCTCCAGTGAGTAGTATCCAATCTGTCTAGGCAGGGCTGATGAAAGGAAATGCAGATAGGTCTCTTGTGATACAATCAATAGTGAATAATTGTTATCAGGACTGATTGTGAGGGTTGGAAATGTAAAGGTAGACATTTTGTAGCAAGGAAGGGAGTGATTAACTTTTCAGTCTAGGAGAGGAGGTCCCTGGGACCATCAAGGGAGAAGAGCGGAGAGCAGGACCCTACCCAGAGAAGCAGTGATGCCTGAGAGGAGGCAGAGATGATGACGTGGAGTGATGGAGCAGCTGGGGACTTTAGACCCAGGGAGGGAGAGGGTCTGTGTGCTGATGACTGGGGGGCAGGCTTGCAGGGTATACCCTTTGGTTGGCTGATGATGCATGGAGAGGATTGTAACCATGGCAATGAAACGATATACGATAGGATGAATGTAAAACTAATGTTCTCCCATGTAAACTATCACATAATTCACAATAAAACATTTTTAAAAATAGATAAAACAATAAATATGACAAGACAGGAGGTAGGATGATGACCAAAACAGGTTACTGTTTATGTAGTAGAAAGGGGCTCATGGGGGTGTGAGGAGGGGTCTACCAGGTCATGGGGTCAGGGAAGGCCTCTCCAAAAAGGTAACAACTGAGCCAAATGACGTAAGCAACCCCACCAGGAACAGCAACGGATTAGAGGGTACAGTCAGTACCAAAGCCTAGAGGAGGACAAGTGTGATCTCCTCAGGGACCCACAAAGCCATACCAGTGGGAGAGCGACAGGGGTCTAGGTGGGGGAGGGGCAGAGGAAAGGCTTGGTTCAGTCCACCACCCAAGGATTCCCAGAAGGGCTGGAAAGAAAGAGGAACGGGCCCCGGTGACTCACTAGACAGCGCACAGGGGGGTAGAGTGGGTGTATCAAGGCGTCTGCAGTGGTCTGGGCTGGGGACATCAAGAAAGCCAGGACTTGACCAGTGCAGTAACCCTGGCAACAGAAGGCGCACCCTGCAGCCAGCGGTAACCTAACCCCCAAACAGTCCTCTGGGGCAGAGAGCAGGAGCTTCTGGAATAGTAGCATTTGGAGTCAAAGGAAGAAAGATCCGGGGTTTGGGGGTGACTCCTTGGATGTGGAGGGACTGAGACCGCCCGGCGTGTCCCAGCCTTCATCCCTGGGTTTCACCTCTCTGATGTCCCCAGGAAGGAGGGAGTGTTGGGGGAAAGGGCAAGGGTCTGTCCCAAGAGACAGGCAGGCCGCTGGACACAAGCTGGGGAGAAGTAAAAATAAACGTGGGTCACCAGCACAGGGACGCCCTGACGCCAGGGCTGAGGCAAGGGGGAGGGAGGGTGCAGGCTGGGCATGGGAGTGGGGGTGTGTGGCCATCAGGCAGAGCAGGGGGAGGAGCCTGGAGGCCACGCCCCATGCACACACATGATGCTGAGCAGCTAACCCCAGGCAGGCAATGCCATTGGACTTAGCACCAGAGGTCATGGGTGACCTTGAGGCCAGTGGCTGTGGTAGCAGGCTGAGGGTCAGGCTGAGGGTGTCATAGGGGGAAAGGCGGAAGGACCCTCTGAACACACAGAGGCAGGTTCCCTGGCTCGGCCCCTGTTTGTAATTTCATTCTTGTTCCTGTGAATTCAGGTTATTCCTCATGGAAGGGGCATCTGACCAAACGGGAGCTCCACCCACCCAGCACCACCCTCTCACACAGGAACACCTGCCCCAGATAGGAGCACACCGTCACTGAGACAGTACACCCCTGTAGAGACAGGTGTGTGCCTCACACAGGTGGGATGCCACCCCAAGAGTGCACATCAGCTGCCAACCAGACAAAGCAGGATGCTGAGCCTATAACAGCTGGGACAGGTCAGGGGTCAGAGGTCAGGGCCCAGCTTTCCTACCTCTCCCTCCACCCTCCCAGGAGCCCCCAGAAGAACTGATGAAGAGACTCATCCAAGTCACATGGTTCGAGCATGAGAGTGATTTGAACTCAGAGCTCTCTGATTCTCATTCCTAAACAAAGCTTTGACCATGAGGTCAGAGAGACCTGGCCCATTCTGGCAGGTTTCCATGGGGAACTGAGCTGCCTGGCCTCCGGGATGTGGGGGCCAAGTTGGAGCTACTGAACCTCTTGGGGTCCCTGTTTCCCCGGAGCAGCAGTACAGTGAATCCAAAGCCAGGAGGTCACCCTCCTGGCATCCTGCCCCCATTAGCAGAGCTGCGTGGGTAGAGAGTAGTTCAGCAGGACACATGGCTGAGAAACTTGGCCTCCATGGGTGAGCAGGTGACTGTGCCTATGGGACACACCCTCAGGAAACAGGACTCGGCTATATCTGCTGCCCCGGGTGACAATGCTGAGTGGGGAGACCACTGCCCTGCAGGGCATCCAAGACCAGGGCCAAGGACACCGTCCCCAAAGCAGCTATGCAGAGAAGAAATGGACCCCGCCGTTGCCAGGGTGTGTGGCCATCAGGCAGAGCAGCCTGCTGTGACCAAGTGTGCTCTATTCGGGGGACCTTTGCACATTCCCCAGCCGCTCAGACCTATAGTGACCATTGCCAAGTGCAGGACACACAGATTCCCAGAGGTTACGGGCCTGTTCCCAACTCCCCCTCCCAGGATACCAGTGCTGTGTCTCCAAACACTGACATCAAGATGGAAGCCCCACCAGGTCCTCTAGCCTTTCCTTACCAGGGGATCAGGG